TAGTGGAAGGAGCAGCTCTGAATCTCCAGGAAGTAGCAAAGAAAAGAAGGCTAAGAAGCCTAAACATAGTCGATCGCGATCCATGGAGAAATCTCAAAGGTCTGGTAAGAAGGCAAGCCGCAAACACAAGTCTAAGTCCCGATCAAGGTAGTATACTTTTTAAAGTATTTTGTCTGATTTTTTTTTTTTAATTGAATTTATTCAAAGTTGAAAGTGTCCTTTCTCTCTCTCTTTAATAAAGTCAGTTTGGTACTTGATAAATGATCATAGTTTAAATAATATTAGAAATCCTGTATAATAGTATTTATTTAAAATTGCAGATTTTTAGTTAAAAATACATTTTTATTTTTCAATTTTGTCTTTTCCCTTTTTTTTTGCAGATCGACAACCCCTCCCCGTCGTAAGCACTGAGGAATGATGTGGCAAGAATGCCATGATGTTTTAAAAAATTCCATGAGTTTTAAGGGCTTGTCTCATTATAGAGGCACATTGTGGCTATGTAGGTGAAACCAGAATCTTTTTTTTTTTTTTAAATCTGTAAATAGGTGTACTTTTTCCAAATGCTGCTCCAAGTTACTGAATAGGATTTCTTTGTATTACACTTTTTTCAAAAAATAGTGCATAATAAGACTATAAACATGCCATTCTCTTTCAGCTGTAATGTTCTTAAACTTATTCTTGAATGTACTGTGATGTCAATAAAGCTCTTTAGTTCATTTTTGTTAAAACTCTTGCACCTTAATTTTGTAATTTTAATCTAAGGAATATACTTTTCTAAAAAGGCAGCTGGAATTTTGTACAACAGGTTTTAAAGGTACATCCTTCCACCTCCCCCAAAGAAAAATGGTTTTAACTTAAGTTCTAAAACAGTTTGTCAAAGTTTGTAAATTGTACCCATGGACTTTGGTCAAATTCCAACTTTAAGGGTGTGGAGGAGGGCTAGAAATAGATCTTTGATTTTCATTTGGAAGCATTTGATCAACTTTCAAAGCTTCTTTGGGGAAATTCAAGTAAATACAGAGTCTCTATATGTGTAAGATATGGTTCATGTGTGTAAAATGAAATTGCTGGAATCAATCAAGCCAATGCATCAGTGTAGTTATTTGTAATGACAAATTGTGTTTGACACTAATAGTAAAGTCTGGGCACTATATTTTATACCTACTTTATTTCACCCACTTCTATTTTAGAGATATATTGAAACACCTTGGGTTACTGTAGAGATAAGACTTAAAATTCAGTATATTTATATTTTTAAAAGTCTCATGTGACCTCAACCCAGTGGAGGAGTGCTGTGTTATGCAGGTTTGTGTGAATTACAGAACATTAAAATGGTCTGATTTTGTCAGTTTCTAAAAATTTTGATCAGTGGGTAGTCCAATTTAAAGCACTCACAGTTACGAGTTAGAATGGGTCTCTCCAGGCATTTGAACGTTAGTGCTCAACTGCTATCAGGGTCCATTTTTTATGAGTATGCACTTATGCAGTGATACATCAATCTCAAAACAAATGCTCTTAAATTTTATTTTGAAAAGCAAGTCAGGACACAGAGACAGTTTTAAAGTATGCCTTCTTACCAGCAATAGTTCATTTTAAAAATAATGCCAGATTTTTGCCAAGATCAGTGTTTCCTCAAAATGAAGATAAAAATAGATTTGTATAGTGTGCTCTTGTACCTCTGCATAGGTTCTTTTAAATAATTTTGAGCAGTTATGCATTTATCTAAAGGAAGTAAACTGTGAATAAATGCATGTTTACCAAAATGGCTGTTTACAGTGCATTTAGTTCTGATATTTATAAAGTTGATATTTCACAGAATCATTTTAAAATAGTTTGTAATTCTGTATGGTTTAGATCAGTCATACATGGAGACGAGAAAAATGTGCAATATTTTTTATGTAGGTGAGCTAACTGAAGTGTACCCAATTGAAGAATTATCTGATTATTTGTAATAGATAAGTTGTATAACATTTTCATATCTTAAAATGTTTTTTAGATCAATCTTCAAGTGAAATACTATTTTCAAAATAAAATTATACAGAAAAATTCTGCTGGCTATGATATACACATTTTTGGACAAAATACAAACTTGAGTCAAAAGTAGTATTTGACAGTTTTATCTACTTTGCCATGATTTGCAAGCTTCATATCAGTTAAATCTATAGATTAAAAAAAATGACAATTGTGACTACTAAATATCAGTGTTATAACTACATACTTGGGTTATTTGTTTTTTTATGGAAAATTGAGAAAATTCACCATCTCCTTCATTCAGTGTTTGGTAAGATTATGTGAAATAGAGCTTCCATGATTTAGGATGTGAATGCTAAAAGTTACACATAAGTTAGATATATAACTTACGGAATTTTTCTAAAATGCTACCCCCAGAAAATTAATACATTCTTGAGGTAATCATTGGTCTGGATTGGTCAGTAAAATCTGTCTTAAGAGATTCTTTTAAAAAAATAGTGTATTAATCCTGCTTGCTTTTGTGGAAGGCAACTATGCTAACCACTACACCACCAATGCCTCTGTTCATGCTTGCTTTTGTGGAGTGGGGGTAAACCACACCATTCAGAGAATAAAATGTAATTTGGAAAAGGTAACTATAAGATTTGTTTCAGACCCCCAAAATACAAATAAAGATCGGTGTGGAATTTCAGTGTACTTGTTTTCTGCCATTGTAAAATAAAGGGTCGTCTTAGTTGTTGGTATCTATTTCTAATAGTGTGACACACAGTAGGTAAATTTCCTCAGCCTGCTTTTAGTTTGCATTATTTTATTTCCTCAAAGACATGGAGTGTAGGAACGGTAGGTGAGTTCTTAAAATTTTATTTAGAAATTTTTACATCAGAGTTATATTAGTTCCAAAGCTACTATAGTATTGCCTATGGGCACCTTTACATTCAAACTTTTCTTCTACATAAAGTATTTTAATTTATTGAAATTTCTCAAGTATAACAAGTATAATTTAATGAAAGTAGTTAGATTTACTGGAGTGCCCTGGTTCTGCTAAGTTGATGTTTTGGGCAGATCACTAAATTACTATGAACCTCAACTTTTTTGTTTTGTTTTGTTTTGTTTTTTTCTGATACCGGGGATCGAACTCACGACCTTGTGCTTGCCAGGCAGGCGCTGTGCCGCTGAGCTAAATCCCCAGCCCCAAGCCTCAACTTTCTTAAGAAAGAAATTAGATGGTGTAATTTTATTCAGCACTTCTAGACCTTAAGTTGCATGGTTTTATTTTATTTTATTTTTTTTTGGAATCCGGAGTCAAACTAAGAACTTTATGCTTGCCAGGAAGGCGCTGTGCCACTGAGCTATACCCCAGCCCAAGTTCCTTAATTTCAAATATCACTTGGTTCTAATCTGTGAGAAAATGAGCTTTTTTATTAGGGGTTCTTTTTTTTTTTTTTTTGCTTTGATTTAAAAAAATTTATTAAAAAAATTTATTGGTACATTTTAGATATATATAGTGGTCACATTCGTCGTACTGAATTTATACCTGTACATAATATATCTTGATTCTCCCCCTCCCTCTGTGACCCCTCCCCTCCCTCCAACCCCTCCTCATTTACAAGAGCATTTTTTCCTTTTTTAATTTTCCCTTCTTTTCCCCGCCCTCCTCCCTTGCTCCTTTTCCCATTTGAACATTTTATTCCCATTTCCCAATATCTATTACACATTTTGCTCCTTACTCACACTTCTGGTTTCTCACACCAGAGAAACAACGCGGTTTATTAGCCTTAACACATACGAGTTACAGTTGTAACATAAAGGTTTATCAGGTATCATCTAAGAGTTTACCTGTAAACATACATCTGCCACATTCTGATTATGATAGTGTACAATGATAATGTTTCTAATTACCAATTTATGTAGAATTTTTGAATGAGAAAATTCATTTTGAAGAGAGAAAACAACTGTTGAAGCGCTTTTCCATATTTTTAAAAAGTATAACATTGTGAGTGGTAAGTAGCTGTTACAAGTTTTCTAGCAACATCTATTTGTAGACTACAGCATGTTTAAGGGTGAGACCATAGAGGTAGTCTGGAAAATGTTTCTTTAACAACAGCCTACATTATGGCCAACAACTCAAAACTTGGGTTTAAGGGTTATTAGGAACAGGTTTTTTTTTTTTTTTAATGTTTGTAGAGAAAAGTACTGTGAACCAGTTTTGTATATCTGGGCCAAACTAGTTTTGGGGGTTCAAAAAGCTTTTGCTTCCCATTAAGGCCAGTTGTGGGTTGCCTTTGTTGAACTGAAGATACGGTGAAGCCTCTGAAGCCCAGTGGGATGTGGTACAAAGATAGTGCAGTACATTTAAATAAAGGCCTTAGAAGTTTATTTGATCATATTTAGACCTAAGGTTTTTCTTTGGATCTGTCACCTTAACAAGTATGTGTATAACACATGGTAATTTTTTGGGGGGGACGCGGGGCAGAGTTTTCTGTTTTTATTTGGAGAAATGGTCATGTGTAAGGGGAGGTGGCTCTGAAGCGGAAACAGCATAGGAAGGTTTGCGGCCGCTCTTAGGAGAAAGGCCAGTACTTTAGAGCAGGAGACCTGGGTGAAAGACTATTCCAGAGTAATATTATTAATTCAAAGAACCCTTTATCTGTTTGATCCTGCCTGTAGAAAATAGTATAATGTTGGAAGTTTATCATTCTTGCCCAAGGGAAGCCATTTTATGCATTCAGAGGTAAAATGGTACTGATCACAGTTCTAACTGAACAAAGTTTGCCTAGACTGGGTGCTAACAGTCTTCTATACGTGCATCCTGTCCAGGATATTAGGTCGCTTGCAGAAGAGTTGAAAATCGGGCTTCTGCCCCGTCTGATACTTGTTGAAGAGGAAACAGCTGTACCCTTCGACAAATTTAAGTAATTTTAAGTATTTAAGTAATTTTAAGCTGCAGTCTTCTATGTGGATAAATATCCTTGGGGAGACATTAAATATGAAGTATAGGTACGTGGGATAAATGGTGTATCTGCTATGGTCGTGAGGATTAGAGGTCATGTAAAATTAGGCAAAATAGAGGCAAAGGTTATTCATAGTGTTAGGAGCATTTCATCGTTTTAACAGCAATCCAATAATAAAAATCGGCTGTAGAGGGCGCGAGTGGGTCTGGGAACCTTTCTCTCGAGGCTCTTTTGCGAGAGGGACCGGAAAAGGAGTGGGGTCCTTTGCCGTGATGTGGGGAAGCCGAAAGTTGAGCGCCTGCGGGGGCCGTTTTTCAGGCGTCCTCGGGTCTGGATGTCGGGCGCGCCGGGCCGAGCGTCCTCGCGTAGCGTCGCGGGCGGGTGAGTGGTGCGCGGAAGTCCCGTCCCCGCCGTGGCGGCTGCGCGGGACCGGCGCAGGCTGCGCGGGGCGCTACGAAACTTGCGGCTGGTGCTGCC